TACATTAATCATTATACTTTCTACTTGGCTGTGAAATATTTAAAACGTTACGTCATAATTTATAAATAAAAATCAATGATAACAGAGGGGAATATATTTCTTACTATCCTTATTCTTCCTGCGGTGGCCCCTTCTTTTTTCACGATGCCAAATCATCTAATATCTTCTCCTATCTAGGGAATGGCGAGAGGGAGAGTCAGACTCTTACTGAGTTAAAACCACCGCAGTCCATCTCCTTCTACAAACCGAAACAGCATGAACCCGCAACCCCTTCATAAAAGTGTACTTAAAACTAATAATGGAAGGCTTATAGTCCAAAAATGGAAGACTAGACTAGAGGATAGTTAAATGGCCAGGAATTTCTCCTGTGTCGAGCATTTATAAACATACAATTTGATGTAAGTACACATCAGACTCAGACCCGGTGCTACAATTTGTTGATCACCCAGATTTGGGCCGCATGGTAATCAAAGCCGCGATAAGTACGTTATGCAGCAACCCGGCCTAACCACTGCGCCAACCGTGCAGGTCATGGTAATAATAATAAAATAAAACAATAAAAAGCTAAAAATATTATAAAACTTTAAAATATGTTATCTCAACCTTTTAACCAAATTGATTAAATTAACTTTTAAATGAATTAAAATATAATAAATCTGTAGAATAATAAAAAATATACATATAATTTAATTATCTTCCTATAAATTAATATAATTATTTGTTAAAAATAAACTAAAATTTACATTTGAAAATATTACTATAAAAGTTATAATGATAAAAGATAAAAATAATAATTAAATATATAAAATAAGGGGCCAGCCGGCAGCGGGAATGTGGTCTACCGGTAGCTACCGGTTTTTTAGGCTTCTGATACAGAAAGCTTCTCATAATAACCTTCGAATCTGACATATCCAGCCAGCATCCTCTGGTTTAAGGAAGACAAACGAGTTCTCCCGCTATGACTGGGCGAGAGGGAGTGGCAGACTCTTACTGACTAAAAACCTCCCCGTTCCTTCTTCTGCGGCACCTTATTGCGCTTGACCAGCTGAGAAAGGCCTTAACTTTAACCTTAGCAATTATTTTCGGTCCAAAATCATCACTAATGAATAACATAGGTTTTAAGTTATCTTTAAATGTCACTTAGTACGTCAAAACGTTATCTCTAAGTTAAATAACATAGGTAACTTATAATAATAGGTATAAAAACTCTTTTATGAAACTATTAAAATAATTAAGTAGCCGTTTGGAATTTAAAAAGTTTTATTTTATTACCCGTAAAATCATTATTTGATTTAATAGATCGGATATAAATAATGGATTTGTAACGAATGTATAATTTTATTACTTATTATTGTATTTAGTCAAATACGTCAATTATTTTTTGTTTGAAACAAAATATATTTTGTTTATTAGTTTCCATTGTATGTTATGTTTGATTTATTTTTGTTTATTTAAATATGCAAAATTATAATTAAATAAATTAAATAAATCGAATATGAAAGAAATGTAACACAAATTCAATTTTTTGTTTTCGTTCTTTCGGCTCTTTGCACCTCTTTTTTTGAGCAAGTTGAGTAAAAAGATATTTGGAACAATAAAAATAAAAATAGCACATTCATCCCGATTTCGGTGTCCGAGGTATTTTTCAAATAAAATAAAAGTTAATTAGTGACAACCCTACAATCAATTCATAGTTTAGAAAACTTATAAGCACACTTTAACTCATAATATTTGCGTTATTAAAAGAAGTGGACATATCTAATGAGCCCAAACTCGATTTGTTAACTAGTAGTCGAAGTTTATACCATTAGCACCTTCAAATTCCATCGTCAAACCACCTGGGACCTAACTGGGTTGGTCAGTCGGGGATGTGGAGCAAGCTCAAGAAGATCCTGAGGCTTAAAACAAAAAATATCCCCCTGACCCTCAAAAATTCGACAACATACTCAAAATTGATCTGGTGATTAAGATATGGGCTGCACTGACTGCTTACCATCAGGTCGTCAGCTGGTCGTTTGCCGTCCTTCGTCATAAAAAGAAATTAAAGTATTGAGTCCTACCGGTAACACAATGTTTACTCCAACCAAAATACAAACTAAAACAATTCTTGCCAAAACAACCCCATAGCAACTCAGAATCCACGCAACCAAAGTTTCACCGTCAAAAATCCTCCAGTGTCACGTCAGAACTATCGGAATATTACCACTATAGGTACTTTATAAACTTTAAAGTTATCTCCCACAAGGAGATAAGTAAACAATCAGTGAATATTTAATACTTAAAAAGATAGTAGTTTAACGAACTCACTCTCGGGTTGAGTGGTTGAACAAAAAAATAATTGTACTCACGTTACGGTTAAACTGGTAGATTAGTCATTATTTGTAATTGCTAGAACGCACAACGAGTACTGCATTCTCGTGCTCAGAAAGAACAGAACCTATTACGTTCTTAATTTAAAAATGAATGACCGAATGAATGAATGAATGAAAATTATTTGATGATGAATGGTATCAGATAATAAGCGTTATTTCTGTGTCATGTTAAATACTAGCTACTCTCGCGCGGATGCACCCGCTCGTCTCCAGTTGATCGTAGCGTGATGTTTTAGCTATCTATCAGTGAAAGAATTTGAAAATCTGACGAGCGGTTCCTAAGACAAGGTAGTTACATACAAACTTACAAATTACAAAATCTACCTCTTTATATCATTACTTATTTGAATTTGTTTTAAGTAGAAGTAGCTCTTATAAAACGGAATATTCAAATCGCAACCCGTTTGCTTAAACTTAAGATTGTAGCGAAACCTTTTAACTAGGTTTTTAGGTGGAATTCACATAATCCGACATGGACTGTCGTGGAACTTTCATAATAAGGGCACAGGGGAATACCATGGGCTATTTGTAGGGCAGATAGCAGGCCTCTTTTAATAAATTATTTTAGAGCTACAAATACAGATATTTCGTTGTAACTGTACTTAGTATTTTTATTTATACACGTAAGTATTATAGTTTTTATCAGGTAAGTACATAGTCTTTGATTATATGTATCAAATGGATTGTTACAATAATAAAACATTTAGCTAAAGATATGAGAAATGAGATTTTTTATGGCTAATAACTATTCTTGGAATATTAATAAATGAAAAACCCAACTAGGTACCTACTTAGTAAGTGTTACTTATATGTATGTATATAACAAAATCCATATATAAAAACGAGACTATTTAACTAGATATGTCATTTATGTATGTTAAGAAACTATAACACTTTGGAACGAGCAAATAGCTTCACTAGAGGACAGACGGACAGACTGACACATATAAAGTTAAACCTTATGATATCTTTTTTGCTTGACGTTCAAAGGTGCCTTATGTGGTTTACTTGAAATAAAGAATTTGACTTGATTTGATATAAATAATATACGATTTCATCTGTCGAATGATACAGTTTATTGTAAAATTTATTTACTATCGATTAATAAACATTAATTAATTTATCATAAAAATATCATACGAAATAGGTGATCTTGATTGAGAAATTATGTGTAAAATAATTTACAATTAAAATTAGGTAGATGGAAACTATAACTTATAATATTGATTATCTTTTAATGTAATATAAAATTTATAAATAATACATTTGTTTTCGTTTCACAGTAATTATTCATCTTTAAGTATATCAATATACATACATATATCCAAAATTCGTCTAAAAATAGAGACAAAATCTAAACCATTTATTCCAAATTTAAACTAATATATCATAATATATTTCATTTATATTAAAATGTAATAGAATAATGTCTGCTAGTCTGTTCGTCAGTGAAACTAGGTAACTAAGGTAATAAGGCAGTTTGGGTTAACAATATGCGCCTAAGTAGTCAATATATATCGCAGCCAAAATACTTAAATTAGCCATCCAACTAACAGCCTGAACGACTAGTCGTTTGATTGAATGGCTAAATATCTCATTCAGGCTATAAGTTGAATAGTGAATAGATTGTCATAAAAACCATAAGTAGCTACCAGAATAGTAAATTAGGTTACTTAAGAACTGTGAACCACACAGAAATGGCGTAGCCAACGCAAATGAACAGCTACTCAAATTGCACTGCAATGGAATGACTAGGTAATTGATTGAACGGCTATTTAAACCAGTTGGCTGCAACATATCGTTGAACAAGCTTTACATATAATTGAGTTTATCGATTAAAGTCATTATTTTTATGGTTATAAGGATAATATATAGGTACATAGTTTAATGCTAAATATATCTTGTGTATGTGTGAGTAATGTTAGTTAAACTTCACAACGTTATATGTTCAAGACTTCCTTATGTATTTAATACATGTTTTATTATATATTATTAACATACATATATATTATTTTATATAATATAGTTAATAACATTATTATTATTAAAAGATATTCAATTACCTTAGTACTAGCTACTACTAATTTTGATTGCGTTACGTGGACGAAAATAGCCTATGTTACAACTTTTATATAAATTTATATATTCAGCCGTTTTTACATTTAAGAGTGACAGACATCCACTCATGCTTACAAACTTTTGTGTTTATAATATTAGTTAGAGTAATGCATGATGAAACATGTGTCAGATTATATAGTACTTATCACGCTTTATTTAAAGGTGAAAATAAGTATTCAGTGCATATAAATATACCCACTTAGTGTTAAATTGTTTCAACAATATTCATAAAACAGCGTTCTTGTTACATTATAAACGTTCACAGGAAACTTTTCAAAACTTTCAAGTTATACTAAAAGTACCTAAACTAAACTTAGGCTAGCGATAAAGTAAGAAATTTGACAAATATCAAAATAACTAATCGCAATACATTACAAAAAAAAACAAAAACAAGAACCCGCCAAAAGTTTCAACTTCGAAATTCGAATTGGAAGAAACAAACGAACGAACGTTTTCGTTCTTATTTCGAAATTTGAACAGTTTAAAAGTTATAAAGTGGCGTGAACTCACGTTTCAGTGGTTTGGGGTTACTCTGCTTCCGACGTGACATGTCCTAACACGGGGCTCGAATCTTTCCCAACATCACACAAACACTCACTACACACGATACTCGTTTGTGAACACTTACACGCGACCGGCTCCGTCAAAGGTCGGAACGCGACTGAATCGGAGGCGTTCTCGACCACGCTGGTGCCAATTCGCGAGTTTCTCGAGGGCTGGGTTTAGCTCCGCCTACTTTAGCCTCCCCCCCTCCCTCCATTGCGCGTAGACCCGTAGCCGCGTAGTCCATTTGCTAAAACTTTTTTTTTGTTTATAATTTATTGACAATTATTGCTAGTACAATAATGGTATGTGGAAATTATATTAAGCATGTCGCTTTTGTGGGATATCAATTTCTAAGTGAAGATGAACGAGGCGATTCGCGTACAGTTTTTATCATCAGAACCTGCAAGAAGTGGAATCATTCACTTTAATTCCCAAGCCCAAGTGAAATAAGGTGGTTAAAGGTAGGCGTTCTCCATCGTAAGTCTCATCATCGCTATCACCAGGCCACTGGCCAACTCGCTTTTGTGGAGGAGGTCTGTAGTCCAACTGTAAACAACCTCAGCCTGTTGGTATTTTTCCATCTGGAAGTAGAAAATAATCATGTTACGTTTTATGCCCTTCCTCGGACTACTTTCTAACATGAGAAGAAGAAACATCGGAACGAAAACAGACAGTGATTTAAAAAGGTAAAATCCATTTTTTGTGCTTTTATATAAGCACAAACGCTACGGCTAGGCTACGGGTCCAAATAGTTCATTCATTACGTTAAATAATACAATATAACACAATTATTACTTACACGATTATGAATAATGCTACGCAACTAGAAATAATATAAAACTAATCAAAAATTTATAAAACACAAAGACTATAATTATAATTATGAAATCAAATACGAATTTATTTATTTATGAATATAAACCCTTATTATTATATGTCAACTAACATCAACAAAATCATAAACAAAGTCCGACTCAATCATAGATAGGTACTTTTTTTGAAACATTAAAACAGAATAACGGAGTGATACCACGGCCTCACAGAAAACCGGCGTGAAACAACCCACAGCCAGTTGTGATTCGCCGTGTGAGTGAGGTTCCCGGAGCCCCGATCCTTCCAATCAAAAGTAACGCCTTTGGTTCATAAACGGCAACAATTGCTTATCATCAAAACAGAAAAGTAGTCTGTCAGTCAGTTTGTCAGTGAAACTAGGTGCTCGTTCTAAATTGTAGATTCGAATGGAAAAGACGAGCAAGAAACTACATCGTCGTTCCATCTAGTGGGTAGTTTTACTTGTAAATAATGAATTAATTTTCCTACCGCAAGTAGTTGAGTGGTTTACGAAGCGAATTTTAGGAAAGCAAAAAAATAAGCTAATCAGCAAAACAACTTGTGACTCCTCTGGTGCTGCAGGTGTCCATGGGCGGCGTCGATAGCTTACCATCAGGTGATCCGGCTGCTCGTTTGCCTCCTATCCCATTAAAAAATAAGCTAAGTTTTATGATAATTCAATACAAAGAGATGATAACTGTAGTTGAAACTACATGCACTTATTGCTAAGCTTTACTTTAGGTACACAGCGATATTGTTAACAACGAAAACTTAATAAATCAAAATATATTTAAATTTTTATACTTGTACTTGGAAATGACGACTGAACATCCTGACATCCTCTGCCCACGGGACAGGTTTTTGAGGGAGGAATCATCCTTCCAAAATCATCAAATAATGGCTTTAGCCAAGAGACTGTCCAACTTTTACTGACTAAAAACCATCCCGTTCTTTCTCCTGTTACTGCGTAAACCCGAGAGACAACAAAGAGACAAATCCCTATGTCCAGTTTAAAAGATGTGATAATTATATTAGATTCATATTTATGAATTTTATTAATTTGATAATATATATGTTTATAAAAATATTGCTTAAATATAATGTATGTATGAACATACATACATTGTCACATCAACAGCAACATTTTTAACATTCAATAATAAATATGCTTTTAGATGCATTATTACTGTAAATATAATTTTAAGAAAAGTTTGAACAAATCTTAACAAATACTTAACTACCCTATTTTCAAAATCTGCATTATATAATATTTTGACCCATTATATTGACACTTAAAACCTTCCCTGAACCTAAACGAATATTTTAAAACCAAAATTATCCAAAACGGACCAGCCATAGTGTCGGACATTGACAATGTAACTCTGGTGCAGTGAGCTACCCGACTGTGTACAGTGATATTATTTTATATATATGATATAAGTCAAAGTACCAAGATCCAAGTCTTCTATTAATATTGCATGGTGTCAGAAGTTGGATTAGAACTCACGGCCCTCAAAGAGCCTAGTAACTATACTTAGGTTAGAAATTGTCATTAGATGATTTTCTAACAAACTTTCTCCCCTCTAAAAAACTCTGTTTTGGATATATTTACCGATATCCCAAGTTATGTATACCTCAAGGCTGGTGGGAGCAGGTGCAAGCGCAAAAATGCATCGTGGCCCGTGACCGGAGCAGGAGGAGGAACAGGATGATTTCCAGTCAGTAAGAGTTTAACACTCCTTCTCACCCCACTTCAAGTGGATGTAGTAAATTGATATTCCCCCCACCTACGTTTGTTTTAATGCTTCACTAATCGTCAATATATAGTGTTATAACTTTTGTGAAACATTAAATTAATTATTTAATTTACTAAACGGTTAACTTGCGTAACTATTAGACGCTGTTAGATATTATACTGCTCATGAATATACCCCCTAGCTTGGCTTAAAACTAGTTGAGTTTTTCGACAAATAGTTTTGTACATATATTAAGTATTCGACTGTAACATTAATAAAGACATTTATTTGGAATACCTACTTAGCTATCTTTAGGTGAAACTCGATATTCCATTATGCAGGATATAACAATGCTCACACGCATCCTGGGAAAACCAGCTCTGGTTCCTTGAATCTCGTGATCAAATAAGAATCAAAAATTCAACTATAAATTTAACACGAGTTAAAAGAAATGAGAGCCATCACCTGACCTCGCGTTTTCCAAAGTAGAGAATTGAAAACCTGCTTATTTACAAAATGATATTTAAAGAACCCAAGGTACCTATTCTACCAAAGTTGGCTGATTCGAGATTGAATCCTGAATCTACACAATTCGCTGTCATAAAATGAAGTTGATCAAATATTTATTTATTTATTTATTTATTTAGCAAAAAGTACAATTTTAGTTATAACATTTTGTTCTTATAATTAAAGATCCTCGCCAAACATAACGTTTAACGGCGAGAAGCGCTCATTTGTTTATATATATCTGATAATAAAGAGACACAGTTTGTTCTTATAAAAAGAAACCACGCGTAACAACAGTTTGTTTTTACGCGTGGCAATTTACCTGAAAATCAAATAGATGTATTTTTATTTAACATAACAACTCTACTGTAGACGATACGTTGGCACAAACTAAAAAGAAGTTGGTTATAATTGTCTATGCAAGTGTACATGTATACACGATAGTTTATATATACGAAATTATGGTGCCCTGAGCTGGTGAGGTGATGGAATTGGTAGGTTTTTGATGAAACCTTAAATACCCAGGTATACCAGGTATAAACCTTAAATACATAGGTAGTTTGGACTCTAACATATTTCAAAAAACAGGCGAAATATAGTAGGAATTTTCTAGCTTCGTCTTCGTCATTAAGATCTATGAAAACATTAGTATTTGTATTTATTGGGTTTTTTTATATGATAGGAAGGCAAATCAGCAGTCGAATATTTGGTGATCGAAAGATGATCTCTGGCCACCGTAAGCGCGGGTCTGCGGCCGGCGAGTAAGGATAGCTTCCCGCCCGACCAGTACCAGGCCCGAGCGTACGGAGCTCAAAGATCCAACCAACCACCACAGACGGGGCCCCATAGGACTGATGTTCAGCCAGGGTTGCGGGGTAGGTGCAATGAGGCACCGCGATCTCGGCCCAGTGCAGAAGAAGGAATGGGGGGTTTTAGTCAGTAAGAGTCTGACACTCCCTCCCGACCTACCTTGGGCGGGAGACGTCATTTGACGACTTTCCCTATCCCCCTTTTCCCTATATCCCTATGATAAGAATAGGGATCGGGAATGGAAAAAGTTTGTAATTGGAGGTTGTCGCAGTGGCTGGGCAACCGGCTGCCGTGCAACTTGTCGCGGTTTCGATTCACGCATGCAACAACAACTCTTTGGATGATTTACAAATTTTTGTGCCACGTTTGGGTTGGTAATGAGCTAACGGATCACCTGAAAGCAATAAGCGCCGTTCATGGACACCTGCGACAACGGAGGAGTTACGCATGCGTTGCCGACCATTTAGGGATTTGGATATTTTGGTATCGGGGGAGACATAATGCGTTGATTAATTTACCGCGGTTTTCTGTGAGGCTGTGGTGTCACTCGGGTCAAGCCGGCCCATTCGTGGCATTCATGGCTGTGCCAAACATGTGTTTCATGAATTGATAGTTTGTATCTTGATGTCATATTATATGTACGTGGTAATGTAATGTAAATGGGAATTTGTAAACGCATTTACGACATACGATAAAGCATTAGTCTGGTGCAGCAAGTTAGGTGCAACATTTAAAAATTTTGGATGAACATCGGTCATTACTTAATATTTGTCATTAACAATATTTAATATACATGTTTGTAACAGCACCTACGACACAGGAGAAACTCCTAGTCTAGAGCACTGTTAGTTTATTCTCTCAAAATAATATTTTTTTTTAATTATAAAGATCAAAAATTCTGCGTTTATATCCTATAACTACTTACTTACGTTTCCGGGTGTAAAGCATGTATTTATATAACCGGTTATTTGTCCCGGTATTCCTACTGAATCATGAGCACAAGCAAATACATTAAACATCATCAGCCAATTCAAATGCCCGGCACTTCTCACTGGGAAAATGTTTGAGGATTTATAACCACGCTTGACAAAAACGGATAGGCCCTTCTTCGAAAAAAATATCCTGATTTTTTATGCAATTGTTTGAAAAAAATTTCCTGATTTTTTTATGCAATTCTTTGAAAAAAATATCCTTTAAGGCTTAATGGTTTTAGTAAATCATAG